AAAAAAAATATGTAACATGTATTACCTATGGGCTATGAATACCTATATAAATACCTATATGATAAAAGACTGAATTTAAATAAAATATTAATTTGGAGACTTTTTTTCCGTGCGACTTTTTTTCCGTTTACCAAAGTATATTATACATTATACTACATTTCTAGGGTGTAAGACATAAATCAACTAATTTCAAGATAATATCCACAAATATTATGTGATTTTTATTCAATGTAGATTATAATATTAACAATTTTATTTTTATATATGAATACGGGCAATACAGTATGATCAACAGGGGTAAAAATTATAAATTAATTAACATAGGTATAACCTGTGTATTAATAATTATATATATACAATAAGACCAATGTTTAAAAATTTTGAATAATACTTTAGATTTTATTTTTTTATATATTTAATTATAATATTATTATTAATATATTTGACCAATAATGGCAATAATGTGTAAACAATTTTTAAATAATACCTAATTTAATACTTTAATTTTAATGGTTATAGGTAAATTTAATTATTGTAATTTGACTTCTTTTTCCGTGGCTTTTATTTCTATGGATTATTTTCCCGTGGCTTTTTTTTCTGACTACCGTTCAAAACATAACACAATAAATACTGAACAACGTGAAGATTGAAGAAATATTATAATAAAAGGTACAGTAATTATTAATATATTATTGTCACTTGAAAAACTGATAAAGTTAAAACGTTTGAGCTATAAAAAAATCGTTTGCACAAATAATATAATTTTCAGATATTTATTTTCATAACTATTTTCTAAGTACAAAATATCGAAATGAGTAATGAGTAATGACTCATGAGTAATGACTAATGAATAATGACCAATGAGTAATGAAATAGTATAAATGTATAATATCTGTATTTATATAATTTTAACATTTTATTTAAGCCAAGTGCAGTTCTTCCAATGAACCATATTCGGGCAACTGTAAACTGTCAGCGATTACCTATTTACCTGCCTTTAAACTTGGCGTTTCGGCCCGAAAATTTAAGGTAGGTACCTAATGAAAAATACCAATTGTAAACTCGGCTTGATATTGTTGATAAATAATATTTAAGAACTATTCAAATAAGCATTCGAATTCATCAACGTAAATAAATATACAATATCATTCATTTGGTTAGTAGATGATAAATAATATTTAAGAACTATTCAAATAAGCATTCGAATTCATCAACGTAAATAAATATACAATATCATTCATTTGGTTAGTAGATGATAAATAATATTTAAGAAGCATGGCATAATTCAATCAAAAAATAATAAAACACGTWGGTGTTTATATATTATTAAATAATCATATGGTGTGGAACAAAGATTGGGGATTCAAAATCAACGAAGACTCACAAACTGCCCCCTTATCTTACTCAACAACTAACCTCAACCCCTCACAACTGCTCAAAACATTTGTTACCCAGGTTTCTACCTATAATGCCGTCTCACATAGGTCGTGGACTGTACACATACACAATAACGACTAGCCCTCAAAAATCGTCAAAGATGGCTTTACCTTCAAGGCTCCACCAAACATATGTTACACGACATAACAAAATTCTTATTTTTAAGCTATTCCTCAAACCTATCTGGTCCTACAGAATTCGACTCTGAGGATCAGCCAGACTCAAATATAAATAGAATCCAAACATTTCCAACGCTACTAGAAAGTTTCCCTGTCATCCAAAACCTTTCTTCCCATACAAATATATAATCCTAGGTGACTCTGGTCAACAACGACTAACCATCACTAATACACACACCTTGGAGTACCTACTATTATTGAATAATTTCTTCAATCAACAAGGCAACCAAGCTCTTTTATGTGTACCTCTATTGCACTTATTGTAGAAATATTTATATTTAAATCGCATAAATTAAAATAAAAATGAAAACAATTTAATTCTACCACAATCAATTACTATACTTTTTATAATATGAAAATGAAAATAAAACAAAATAATTTTTGAAGGACAATGAGTTCTCTATGTAATGCTAAATGGATCACAAACATATTATGAAATAATTATTAATTATATATGCCAAGATCAGGGTGTATTACTTTTTTTGGCACAAATTTGGATGGCAATCATTTTTACTGAAAAACTTGAAGCTTACAATTGCCCCTTATTTAATTCTGAAAAACGTTTTAATATGTTTACCTGCCTATGATTCATTTTCAACATTTTTATATAGGTATAAGAAAAAAATAATACTATCTATCAATTAGTACTAGTAAAAATACCAATAAAGATTAATTTATTTTAATACGATTCTCATCAATAATTAATTGTGTTAGGATAATTTAAGAACAATTAAAATCTAACATTTTAAATATCAAAAAAAAAAAATTTCTATAAGTAATACACTGATACAAATCAATAAATATTAATACTAAAATATAATTTAATGTTAATATTTTCATAAATTTATAAAATAAGTTATGTATAGATCAAAATGTAATTAATTTTATATGACTAGAAGGCAGTGTTTCATATTATATTTAAACATCGAGTATAAAAATAAATCAAATAATACTTTTCATTAAGATGTAATACATTATATAAAAACTATTCTTGTTGTATACCCTGTAAACATTTAATTCAATTAGTTATACACTTATACTTGAAATACTCATAATGCTAAATTAAAATATTATAATAATAGATAAATGACAATATTGTACTGTAAATTTTAAGGTAAATGGACATTTTCCCTCTAACGTTTTTCGGTGTAGGAAGACATCTTCCC